CAGACAAATGGCTATCCAACATCTTCTTAAAGACTTCCAGTGTTGGAGCATTCACAACTTCTGGAGGCAAGCTGTTCCACTGATTAATTGTTCTACTGATCACTATTATTTTCTAACACAGTGTTGAAGAGCTGTGTTGAGGAATCAAGACGGAAGGTGGCGCTTGGCATATTTCAAATAAACAAGCAAAATATTTTTAAAGTTACGTGAAACTTAACAGAGCTATTCAAGAATTCTACTCTCCAGTCCTTCCCTTGTAAAAATGTCTCCATCAGTTTGAATGAAGAGGCTGCTTTAGAGAGCCACTCGTATGGAAAGGACAAAGGGAGAAGGCTGTTGACCCAGATGCAGATATTGCAAGGCCATTGGATCTCATGGGATGACAGAGGATGGTGCCAGTTTTGTGATGGGGAAGTCAGGCTAAGAGACCTAGTTGTTCTGGTGGTGAAGGCACTAAGCTAGAAACAAGTACATTGCAAATTTTGGTCCTGCCTTACACAGGAAAGCCAACTGGGTGATTTTGGGCCAGTCCCTCTCTCTCTCAGCCCAATCCATCTCATACAGTCCTTGGGGAAAAATAGGAAAAGAAAGGAAACACATTTCTGTCTTGAGTTATTTATAAAAATAATAAAAATGGGAGAGAGCGGGGCACCTTTGAGAGGCACATCATAACCATTCTTATTTTTAAATCCCATCACCCCTGAGAAACAGTGGTTTTCGGGCTATATGTTGGAAAATCAAAGGTTCTTTGGTTCAGTCAATTTTTGAGGTGCTGAGAAGCCTCAGATGGAGCGCCGCATTCCCCAAATTGTGGGTCCTCTTTTTTTTGTTTGGTGTGTTGTATTAGCCCAAACAATTGTAGCTAATCCAATAAACCGAGTAAAATTGTGCCTTGTGAGAACCAGGTTAATGTGCAGAAATGGGAGAGGGAATTATGTCTGGATGCCTGTATTGACTTGACAGGAACAAGTCAATGGGAAGGTTAAGGATGAGTGAGGATGTCATACTGTCAGAGGGGAAATTTCAATAGATTAGGAGAAAGTCTTAATTGGAAGAATGTTCCCTTCTAATCCTATTGCCCCACTCAGGTTCAGTCCTATCAAGAGGAGAGATACCGTCTCTGTACCGGGAGACACAGGCAAGATTTCCCCCCTTGTACTGTACATTCTGCAGGAGATTCTTTTTTAAACAAACAGATTTTTATATGCCTAATGGAGAAAAGTATTATTTCACTGTTTGAGTGCATGAGTATCATAATAATTAACAAACATGGAAACATTTCTTGATGTTTGTTTCCAGTGCAGTGAACAGGAAAAGATCAAGCAAAGACGAGACGTATTGGAAGGAGATCAATGCAGCGATGGCCTTAACCAATCTTGCCCAGGGAAAGGACAAACTGCAGGGTACCACCAGCTGCATCATTCAGAAATCTTCACACATATCAGAAGTGAAGACAGTGAAAGTTCCACTGGTGCCAATGCCATTTTAAGAGAAAAAGTGATTTGCTTATCTTTCTCTCTGTGGATTTTTTTTTCATGCTGTTTGTTTTCTTGTAAGATCACAAAAGATCTAAAATAGGGATTGAAGCTCCTTATTGTAGTCAGTGACAGTCAGGATGGATAAGAATAAGTGTAGCTCATCGGAAAGGTCTCACCAGCAAGCACCAGCAAAATGATCCTGAGGAGGTTTGTGTGTGTGGTTGTCGTTCATTTTCTTGTTTGTGATGTAAAAGCTATTTCCAATGAATTGTGTTCTGTTATGGTACAGTAATCAAGAAATATTCTCTCAGGCTAAATAGTTTGTTTCTTAAATAACATGTCCATTATGGAGGGGGGGGGGACGTTCCCTGCTTTTTTCTTTTTAAGTCAAAATTATTAACTTATTTTATTGTATTAATCAAGCTGCACATTAACCATCTGCATTGCTATAACAATAAGTGCCTTGCTTTCTTACAGTAAGCTACAACGTGGGCATAGCTTTAGTAGACATCTGTGCCTCAATTTGTCAATCACCCAACTCTTAACCTTGCACGTAGTTCTAAGTTCATCTTGACCGTTCGAAGCTGACGTCAGAAAGGATATTATTACTGTTTTAAAAGCCCTAAAGCCCTTTTGATTTATCTGAATTGGAGACCCAGTAATATCTAAAATGAAATTGCTATATTTTACCGTGAAAGAAAAATTGATTGTTACCAAGCAATACTCTGGTTTGCTCAAGTGAAATCAAATTGCTATGTTTTGTTACCCATAGAATTATTTTGATAAGTGCAATATTATGGCTCCAAGAGCTTGAGATCCAGGTTTTAAAAAGAAATAAGCCTCATTCATTTTAAGAAGAATTCGAACAGCAAGGACATTTATATGAGATGTGAAGCATCCTTCCTTTCAGGTGCTTTGCAGTCTGGATGTGGTTGTTTCTCAATATGATTTAAAAATACAGTGCCTCTCCTCCGCCTGACTGCTGTTTTGGCTCTTATTATTGTTGAGCATGAGAGAAAGATAGCAGCTCACAGAGAAATTAAATCTCACCTATGAAAATGTTCCTCTTAGCTTTATATAGTGCTTAATTTTTTTTTACATGAAAACGTATCCTGTGACAGCCTAAGTTGTTCTTGTTGCAGTAAAGCTATCAATAAATCCAGTGTAGATTCCTTCCTTTTAAAGTCCCCTTTAGATTTATTGAAACTGTTATGTAAGTAAACAAAGCAGCTCACTTTTTTTGGTACCAAGTCAATCTATGCTTCAGTTTATTATTTACATTGGAGCTCTGTAACTTTCCACGACGGAAACCGTTATTGCCTTAATGCATCCAAAATGTTTTTTATTTTGGTATGGAATGTATCAAATGAAGGCAATCCCCATTTCAATGAAGGAAAAGGGGGCATAATGAAATCTATATATTATATAAAGTGAAAAGCCTGAATTAAAAACATGTGGGGTACACAACAGACAAACAATTGTGGCACTGACTCAATTTAAAGTTAAAATAGATGCTAAATTAGGCATTAAAAACAACATTTTAAACCTCTAGATTTGACTGCCATTGAGTCAAGTGAATTGTATAAAATAGTTTTTATAGAGGTATATCAAATTTTTCTTCAATCATCCAAAAATGTTCTAATCAGGCTCCCTCCCTTATGTAAACAACAGTAAAGGCCCAAATAGTTTATATTGAGTGGTAAAAGAAAATTAGAGAAAAAAGTTGATTGCTAGAGTTTAGTTTAACAAAGTTGAAACCAAGCTTATTTTCCTTTAATTGTTTGAATGTTACATTTGAATAACAATATCCAGACTAAATTGTAAACCTAGTTTTGAGAAAAAATCATTTAAACTCCAATATTGTTTTTATTGTTTATAAAAGGGGAGAGGGGAAAAGAAAAATCAGTATATGTTAGTTGAGATGGACAAGGCAGATTCACTGTTTAATTCCTCATGTCTCACCTGATAGCAATAGCACTTAGCAATAGCGTTAGACTTATATACCACTTTATAGTGCATTACAGCCCTCTCCGAGCGGTTTACAGAGTCAGCATATTGCTCCCCAACAATCTGCGTCCTGGAACAGAATTCTCTCTCTACAAGCAGTGGATGACATGTACCCCATGCAGTCTTTAAATCTTTTTGGGCAGTACTTAAATCCCATTTGACCATAATTCCCAAAAATGCAAAGCATTCTTCCCACCACTTCAAAATATAAAAAAGCATGAAAATAGTAATATAATTCCTAATATAGAAATATCCCAGTGAAAAGAATAAGAGAACAGCCATTCCCATATTCTGCCCTGACTATTTGATTATCAGGGCATGGCTCCATCATATGGCAGTCATGTTGTGACCCTATCAACACTGAGAGCCTCCCTAAAATGTTCAATATTCACCAGAATGTTGCCTACTTTTACTTGATACTGTCAGGTTTATACATCCACGAGGTGTTCTTTGGGTAGAGAACTCCCAGCAGAAGAGTAGATAAGACTGGATTAAGACTTTTGCACATAGCTTTGCACAGAATTCTTTTAAGACTGTATTGCTAGTTTTCTAAACTCTTTGTAGTAAAATGAATCAAAGTAAGATAGATTTCTGTATTAAGTCTAAAGTGGATTGCAAAAGCAACCAGGGTTTGGCCTTCAATGTAAACTCCATTGGGAAGGTAGGTAACCTTGTGGCTAATTCAAACCTTTCTGTTTTAAACAAAAAGCTATCGCATCTCTAAATCGGCTATTTCTAATTTCCTGAGCATGGAAGGCATTGTATAGGGTTCCTTACACGAGGGAGATTGTGGGGATTAAATTGTGCAAAATTTCCAAAAGAAGCTTTCTAAAGCATATAGCCATCCTGTACATGTGGAAGCAGTGGGTATAGGCTGCAGAAGATTTACACCCGTTATGCTCCCTCTACGTCGAGGGAAATCCTAGAAATTCAAGAGAGGCAGGGGGACAAACCCTTGATGGAGCTAACTTTCAGGTATGCAGATTGATCTTCAAGTGTAGCCAGTTCCAATTGCACTAATATAAACTAGCAGGTATCTGCCTTGATGTAACTTTTAGAATGCATCTTGATGTTTCATAGCATTTTGCGATGATGGTTATTTCTAAACTGTATAGTTAAAGTGATTTGATATGAAAAATATATATATTTTGTACACACACACACACACACACACACACACTCTTTTTAGGGAGTGTTTTCATTGACGTGAAAAAAAGCAGGAAATATACTGTATGTTATGACTGTATGAACAGCTGAAGTTTACTTTTGAATGATTTACATCATTATGCAAAAGAGATATCCCCCACACTTTATGGCTTTGACAACCAATCTACTGGATTTTCTCATAACAATGTGAGTTTTTAAAATAAAAACAAAGAGTAAGCGCTTCGCTTTAGTTCATACTATTGTAAATTATTCTGCTATTAACTGTTTTGTGAAAATAAAATGTGTTGCCAAACTTTTCTGTAAGATGTTTTCAGGTTTGTTTTGTTTTAAAAAATTCAAGTGGATAACAGTATCAACAAAATTACTAATATGTGGAAGGAACAATCCAAAGAATAAATGTTACTATACAAAATAAGGCTGGTGTGGATCACGTGGTTCCTTTTTGAAGCGAGGGGATTAAAAAAAAATACTCGGGTATATAGACTCTTGATTTCAGGAGCAAATGCAAACTATGGTCAGTAAGATCAGGCCATTCTAATCCCTAGAAGAGCAATATTCCATTGATAAAGATAGAGACTAAGGCAGAAAAGGCATAATTTCTGGGGGCCTCTCAGATAGAATGGGACTTGGAGAATGTGCACCCAGATCAATTGAATGGCAGAATAACCAGGTGGAGATGGTCCTTCGAAGTATAAGAAATAATTGATGTTGTGTTGTTTCATTCTTTTCCCTGCTTGAAGACAACTATGTCTGGGAATTTCTGAAGTTCCACTTAGATGAACAGATTGGATACTGCCAAATGATTTCTAGGCAATGAAAAGTAAATCTAAACATTTGTGTGAGTTTTTTTAAAAATTTTCCTTGAGTTTAATCCTTCTATTGCCACAAATTTAGGCACCAGAAGTCTCAGAACCGAGACCAGAACTGAGTCCTGGTTATTTATCAGCAAACTTGCTGGTCTTTGCTTTAACTGGCATAACCATTTTAAGAACATAAGAAACTTTTTAAAATCCCTTCATGCCAGTTTAGAAACAAACTTTGATTCCAAAAGTTGTTGATTTCAAATGCATGTTCTGCTCAGCTTGTTTCTCAATATTGGAGATACAATCAAACAGCAACCAAATTAAGCATGCAGAGGACGGCTGATTTCATAGGATTTAAGCACACTTAATTAGGATTGGGCTGATAGCCCAGGCATTTATAAAAAAAGGTGTTTAGGGAATTAATGTTAGCAGGTTATAGAAATGTGCTTGCTAATAGCAACAAGTGCTTTCTATAATTTCTACCCAGAGATTCTTTATATTTCCAAAACCCTAAGACATGTGGAGTAAAATTATTTCAGAACTGGGCTCAAGTGTTTAAAAGATAAGCAGAGCCAATGTTACGATACAGGAATATTGTGCCAAACCTTTGGGCTGCTTTAAAAGCATTGAAAGCACATGTGCGTCATATTCTGATCTTTCATGTTTTTGGGCCTGGCTCAACAACACCTGGATTGCTTTCAGAGGTTCACTGCCAGTTCAGTTTCATCATCCACTGTTCAAAAAAGCTATTACTGAACTGTATTGACCCAACTGGACCCCAAATTACTTTGTTGCAGGAGAGAGATGGCAAGTTTAGAACAATAATGGTTCAAGAACACTGGGTGGCTTATCTAGCTTATCTCAATATCTTCCATGAAGTTGAGGTTTCAAGGCAAAGAATCTTAAAGTTCTGTCTTCATTTCCACCTCCTTTGTCTCTTTCTGACTTAGGAAATAGGGCTACTGTTCCTTTTTTTGTTGTTGGAGGGATCCATTATAGATGTCACAAAATATTTGTAATGGAAAAACCAGAGATATGTCTATATTTATTGAAAGTGTTCTATGGTCACTCACTTTTCTAAAGGGAGGCTAATTTCCTGAAAGGTCCACCATGCATGTTCCAGAAAGCCTACTTGATAGAGAAACCAAAGCATCTACAGAAAAAATGCTATGTTTGCATTCAGTTAATTGTCATTGATAGCAGTGCTTTGGGTGTCAATTAAATCAAGACAAGATGTCAGGAGACATCTCCAGCAACAGTCATCATTCTCATAAAATCATTCAGGTGAAAGAATTTTAGCAAATCAGTAATGATTTTACTCAATATAATTTGGGACAGATGAAATCTGGGATAAAGGCAGAGCTGACGTTTCCCGATTCTATTATCAA